TGTGTGGTTGTTTGCCTTTTGTGTGTGTTGTTTTTGTTTGGTTTTGTTTTTGGTGTTGTTGTTGCTTTCGGTTCTTTGTGCTTCGTTTCTTGTTCTCTGATGAACGTGACAAGGGAATAGGACTATGTATCGGTCCTCTACCAGTTTACTATTGCGGCCACTACAGCTTCGGCCCCTGCGTGAATTAATTAATTAATCCCATATGCAACATGCTTGGAAACATGTTGAACGACCTGGCGGAAGCCATACGGCGTTGGACGGTAAAAAAATCTAGACGTTTTGGTAGAGACTAGTAACACCGGCTAGCTGGTTATTTGCGTTTGGACTTTTTTTTCCGTCCAACGCCGTATGGCTTCCGCCAGGTCGTTCAACATGTTTCCAAGCATGTTGCATATGGGATTAATAAATTAATTCACGCAGGGGCTGGTTATTTGCGTTTGGACGAGAACCAGTTTGACTTGAGAACTTTTGGAAATGTTTCTGACTTTTTGTGACTAGGTGATTTGTATATCATAGCAGTTTGGAATTGTTTCAGCAACCTTTGAGGAAAGGTTGTGGATTGGAAACCTGGAATCGAGTTTCCCAGTTGAGACATCGGCTCAAGGGAGTGGTGTCAAATGTTCCGAAGCGAACTGAACTGCAGTGTCACCTAGGGCACTTGAAACAGTAGCCACACTGGAACTTCTTTCCTTTGTTTGTGGGCTGTGGCCGTGTGCCTGCCCTGGTTCCTGTTGACCTGTTCCGTTGTGTGTGGCGTCTGGAGAGAAAAGGAGGAGTCTGACGTGCACTTAGGAGTCAGGGTGGAACTAGTTCCTTTAGCTTGACATTGCAGAGAAGTAATTAACCGCGGGACTGCAACCACAGTAGGTGTTTGCGTCTGGCGCAGTGAGATAACGAAAGCGTTGATTTGGGTACACGAGAGGTGTACTTGGGTTTACGTTTTTCACATGGTAGCGGAGCCCTGAAAAGGGCTACCCACACCATCTTCCGCTGACCCTTGTTTGTGACAAGATGCTTAGGACGTCATCTAAGGTGAGATTGGGATCTTGGATATTGGAGCTCCGTGGTCTGCACGCAGACGTAGAGATGAGCTCGTACTAAGGTGCACCTGTTTCACAGGAGGTGATGATCTGAAAGTATAAGGTCACTAGGGAGTGTGAAGTTGGTTGGAGTCTGTTTGGTTCAGGTGAATTTGAGACTCTGTTTCTTGGTTGTATTGACTTCTACAGGTCATGAGGATCGTGGATCTATCAGTTTTAAGTGACCATCCGTTTGCAAGTCAAACAAGAATCGGCAGGGTGTGTGTGCTTGGTAGGCTGGACAGAGGTGGGCCCATGTAGACTGTCGACAGTGGTACCTGTAGAAGTGCATGCAAGATTAGTCAACCCTGGGAAGGACACTTGTGACTTGGATGGAGGAGTTGAGTTTTTTGTTTGGTTTGTGATGACAGTGGATTCTGTTGAAGCAAGCTTCATTTTCACCTTGTGTAGGTGCGTAGTTTTGGAAAGCGTCCATGTGGTCTTGGCAGTATTCTGGTAGGAGTCTGTGTCATGGCGTGACGTATTGCTAGCGTAGGGTCACTATTGCAGGGCTGCGCTGGAGTATCTGGAGATGTATGCATGGATGGAATGTTCCTGGATGTAGGAGATTCGTTTCGGCAGTATGAAGTGACAGTAGGTAACTTGCTGCAACCTTGCAATTGGAACACACTAAGGTAAGGACGAGAAGAACTGATTTGCATAATCTGGTAGAGCGACTGGTTGCCAGGTTGGACACTGGACACTGAGGTAATGGATCAGAGTGCAAAGGCTGGGAACTGAGGATGTTAGGTACATGGTTCTTGCAAGCGGTTGAGGCATGTCTTGGATCTTGAACTCAGTTGGTCTATAGAGGGGGAGTGATAAGAAAAGGCGTATCAGGTGACTGGAATGAATAGGTAAAGATCGCTTTCTGAGTTGTCGTTTCAGTGTCACACAATCTGAAGGTAGATTTGTTTTTGTTTGAGCCCAATACGCATGAAGACTTTATGTTTTGGAGTGCACTGTGGATGATTGAAAGTGGGTAACATGCCTGTCACTGATAGTGCCAGGTATTGCTCAAGAGGTTCAAAGGTAGATCAGTTTGCCATGTCTACCCGCAAAGACCTGAAAGGTTTTTTGAAAGAAGGGCCAACCTCCGGTGGAACTGGAACGTCTCACTCCAAGGAAGGCCAATACAAGAAGGCTGTACAGTTGGCTCGCCCAAAGAGTAAGAGGGCTCCTGCGAAGTTGAGGGATAAGTTCTGGAATTGTCAGCTTATCTCCACCAGGAATCGGCAGGCACCTCTATCCACCAGGAATCGGCAGGCACCTCTCTCCACTAGGAACCGTCGGGCACCTCTCATTGATGCTGCCACGGCGCCTACTCCTGTTGTGATAGATGCAGATGAAGATGTGGCAAGCATCAAGAGGGAACAGCCTCCGGTAGATGCGGCGAGGCTTGCAAGTGAATGTGGAGAAAGAGTACTGAATTCTGGGGACGATGTGCAGAGTGCCCTTCCGTATGATTCAGACAGCGAGCTGACAGATGTGGACGACATGCCAGAGACTACTTTGGAAGAAGAACTACTCAAAGAAGTTAGTCTGAGTGTTACTGATGAGCCTTAGCTTGTTTGTTTGAGAGGAGACGCCAGTGGAAGTAGCCTTAGGGCTTTGCGGTTGGTTGCCTGGACAGAAATGAACAAATGAGTTTTGTTTTGCTGCGAGAGTGAAACGGTGATCATATGTGACCTAGAGGCGTAGAAGGTCGTTGGCTGGAAAAGGAGAAGCTGAAAGCGACACAGAGAAAGCCACTAGGTCGGTTGTTGTGATGTTTTCACTCGCACGATGCTTGATAGTTTGTTTTGAATGTATGAGTTGTGGTTAGATAGCCTGCTTGTGTTTCCGCAGCCGTTTTCTAGCTGTTTCGTGTCAAGAGCATTTGAGACCGCTGCACTGTGTGTGTTTTCGAACATGGAGTCACTTAAGCTCTGGATTGCTTTAGAGCCCAAGCAGCTGGAAGAGTTGAACAAGGGGAATGAGGTTTTTCCAGATGGATACTCCGGTCGCTTTGGTCTGCGTTTGGGGCCTGCGGAAGCGGTGAATCGTGCTCAATACTTTATGGATTGGACGCCTGATGGATTGAAAGGTGAGTACCATCAGAAAGACTATGCAGTGATGGAGATGGAGATCTCAGCGCTTGGCTACCTTCAAAAGGTTGAGGGCGGAATCTTGGAGAAGACAAAGCCCACCGAGTATCGCTGGCATGGGCCTGTGAAGCATGAAGAGCGGGATAGCCAAGGGCGCATGTTGTACCGCATTAGTGAGATGGCCGTCAAGTTCATTTGAATAGTCAGGGTCCAGGTCCAGAAGTTGGGCAGACCATGGAGTATTAGGTATGGTTTTTGAAACTCCAGTTTGAAATGCAGAAGAGAAAGAAGAAAGAGTGTCTTCAGCAGCTTCAGCAGCATATGAGTCTGCGTTGCTCATGTGACGGACGAACAGTTTGTTTGTTTTTTGTTGGATTTGCTGTAGTGAAACTGTGAGTTTTGACGTGTGGAGTTGTCATGTTGAACTGGAAGGTGACTGTAGATTGGTAGGTCGTTGGTTTGGAAGAACTGTAAGCGGCAGAGTTCACAGTCAAGAGATCAGCATGGACAGAAATTTGCAGTGAGTGTTAATCCACATGGAAAAGCAATTGAGCTGCATGTTTGCATCGATGTCGCGAAGCCATTTTCTTTGCTGAGTCTGGGAAGTAATCTCGGTTTGAACTCAATGGAGGATAGCATTCGTCTGTGGATAGCTCTCGCCCCACCACAGATGGAGGAGCTGCGGACGCATCATAGAGTCCAGCCAGACATCTATACCTCCAGGATAGATTTGAGTGCGACACATGCGCCCGTTGGGCGTGCCACAGATGCTCAATGGTGTCACACTTACAACTACTTCGATTACAGCTTCCTCCAGGTAGAAATTACTGCTCTGGGTTACTTTCGAAAGATGGAGGCAAATGTACTGGAGAAGATTCAACCTGGTGAGTTTCGTTGGTATGGATTTCTTGTTCCAGAAGAACGTGATGAGCAGGGAAGATTGCTTTATCAGATCATCGACCCCATGGTTGCTAATGAGCCGGTTCACGAGCGTCCTGCTAGGAACTGAGGAATGAGCAAGCTGTAGATTATTGTACTTTAGGTTTTGCTTGAGCCGTGCCAGCTGTGGCAAGTTGGTGAAGGTTCCCCTTTTGGATGCCTGTGGCCGATGAAAGAATGCTTTGGTAGTCGATGCTAACATGTTGCAAGATGAGAAGATGTAATCGTGTGGAATTGTCAACTTAAACGAAACAAACGAAACGAACGAAACGTGAAACCCAAACAAGTTTGTGTGTGTTTAGTGCGCCTTGTTTCTTATTTGCAATTGAGATTTGCTGTCAGTGTGTCGTTTGGTGGGTGCAGCTTTGTGAAGATGACTTGTCAAAGGGTTCTCGCGAAACCACGGAGACATGTTTTCTTCCAGAATACCTGCATGCATGTCAATGAGAGACAGTGAATCTGCACTGCATATCGTAGGGAGCGCACGGTAAACCTGAATTCATGGTGGTCCTTCATGGATTGAGGACTGATTTTTGTACAGGGGTTTGGTCAATTTCCATGATTTGAGGACGAACACAGACCTTTATTGCATGTTGAAACATATGTGTCAATGGTTCGCAAAATTCCAGTATGTTGGAGACATCTGGCATTTTGGGAAACATCTTCGTCAGTTAGTTACATTGTTGAGTTTATGCAACATGGTGATTGGCTTGTCTGTTTGGTGTTTGAGACATTGAGATCATAGGGCATGAGGCTCCATTGTCAGCCGGGATTGTCCAGTAGAGTGCTGCAAGCTCTTAGAACGCGCCTAGAACGCACGCTGAAAATGGCCGAGGAAGGACGAGCCCGTTCCAGGTCCCGAGGACGTGAGGCAGCTGAATCTGAGACCCCAGATATGCCAGAGGGGGCCCCAGGTGTGCCTGAGGAAGCCCTGGGCATGACAGAGGGAAACACAGGTATGACTGAGGGAGCTCCAGATATGTCAGAGGGAGCCCCGGGTGTACCAGAGAGAGTTCCGGATGAGATGACTGCCGTGCCACCACCAGCGTCTAGTGGTATGGAGATCTTGGAACTCGCTCAGAAGCTCTCGGAGTGTACCACGAAGATCGGCAAAGTGATTGAGGATCTGGGTCTTACCTTTGATGAATTCAACAATGGAAGATTGGAGTTGCAAAAGGGATTCCAAGAGCTCAGTACATAGATCAAAAGTACCAACCATTGTATCACCACGATGACAGCAGGAGTGGCATTTCAAGCTGGAGAAGTCACCAAGCTTCTCAAAGCCTTTGATCGGTGGGCTAACACTGGTCGTTGGGCTCTAGCTGGCACTCAGTCGGTGGAGACCAACATACAGGGAGTCCAAGGTGAGGTTGAGAAGCAAGCTCAGAAGTTGGAGACCAACCTCAAAGAGGGCTTTGAAAGCATTGGAGGGTATCTTCAAGAGGTGGTGAGACTCCTGGGGGAACGTCCAGTTACAATGGGCGAAAGTGGGGCACCGCTGACGCCGGGAATGTTAGGTGCACATGGAGCGGGCGGGATTTCCAATACGGGTGAATCGATGTCAGTACCACCTGTTCATGTCCCAACAGCTCCACCTGCTCCAGCAGTTCCACCTGCTCCAGCAGTTCCACCTGCCCCAGCGGTTCCACCACGTGCGGCAGAGCCAGTGTCACTCTTTATGGCGTTTTGTCCGGAACAGCCGAATGGGCCGAGACCAAATGCTCCTCTTCCGATCCCAACACCGTGCCAGCGTGTGGGCATCGTTACCAGAGATGCGGGAACGGGGGTGCAGAGGACATTGTCACCGACGCCATACCGTTCTGAACAAATCAGCGGAATCACCAGCATCTGGGCTCCCCAGGGATTGGGGATGATTCGTGATGGGAATTCCCAGTTCAGGAGGATTTATTGAAAATGTGGAGGTTCGGGACATTGGATACTGAGAGTTGAGAGAGGCCCGATCGCTCTTTTTGGGTGGAACCCATGATGTGCACTATCCTTTGAAGTTTCTTTGCCACCTGTGCGGTAGAGAGAATAGTTGGTGAGTGGTATTACCACCTTTGGCCAGCTCGAGGTTCACTCTATACAGCACGTATTCGTTGCCGTCACTTCAGACTTTTGTGCCCAGCAGAAAAGGAGAGAGGGAAAGCGGATCTTGAAAGGGGGCGAGGGGTTGTATTAGTGCAACCTGGAAGAAACTTGCATCATGGAGTTGAGTTGTATCCTGGAAGGATCAACTCACACTTTGTGGTGAGAGTGGATGTGAGGTACATACATGAGACACACGTTGTACATGAGCATGTTTTTGGATTCATTGTGAGTTTGTGTTTTCTGATTGTTTCTGTTGTTAATGGTGGTCTGTGTATATCTGCCGCCATTTTTTCCAGATGATGACATGGCCAGATCCGATTCTTGAATGAAAGAAGAATCAAAGAGGATCCAGGCTAAATGTCTGATGGAAACACATGAAAATCTTTTGTTTGGTCAAAGTTTTTTTTGTGGCTGTTTGCCTATAGAAGTCAGTGGATTGGACATCCCTGACTTAAGGTACCTGTCAATGTTGTTGGAAGTGTACTCTTGACGTTTCTAGATATGTTGATGTCAGTGGAATGGATTTCCCTGATGTTGTTAATATGTTTGTAAGTAGAATGGTCGTAAGTTGCTTTGGTTGTTTTTTGCTTGTTTACTCAATATGCGATAGATCAGCCTTTATGCTGATCGGAATTCATTTTGGTGATGGTTTCGGATAGGTGGATTTTACCTCAAAAGGGGGCAAGGTCTGTTTTATTTTTGGAAATATGTCCTGAGCTTAGCGCGCCTAGCACTTGGCTTGTCAGAAGCTGGGTCTGCGTGGTGCCGCAAGGCTATGAGCTTAATTTTAGTTCCACGAAAAGTGGATTCTATCTGAGTATTCTGGACTGATGACAGTTTCGCTTGTCTGACACGCCTATCTTCCAATGGAAGACGTGGATTAGCTGAAACAGTCGGCCTTTGTTTTTGTGTTGACTCCGACAGTGCTTCGTCTGTCTTCGTCTTGGATCTCGTGTGTGTGTTGTTGGTGTTTTGTTTTGTTTCCGTCTGTTCTAGGGAACCACAAAAAAGCACTGTAGTTGATCGTGAATTGACGCCATGGTCTCTTTGATCAGTCGATGGATTTTGACCTGGTGATGTTGACTGGTTAAGGATAGATGGGAACTGTGCCCATGTAGACGTCTATGGAGTATTGCTGAAATCAGCGTTGGCGATGTTTGTGGATATGGATGGGCTGTTTATTTACGATGAGCGAAGTGTTGGAGGAACAACCGTCTATTTCTTTGAGGATCAGGTGATTTCTCAGAGACAGTTATATGTTTTTGGAAACTTCGAATGTTTCAGAGGAGTTTAGATTTCATTTTCCGTTGAGGTGCTTGGAGCATCGAAGTCTCCTGGCGAATACGACGTATTCTACGAGTTTGACCTTGAAGGTATGGCGAAGTTCATACTGGATATGCATCTGAGTATGTATAGAGAGAAATGAATGTCATGTCGAAAGGGGGTGTGGAAGTTTGTACCCTTGTGGGGTGCAACTTGGCATTGGTGCGACCTGACTTTCATTGAGTCTTCAGTAGTGAAACTGGCCTATGGGAAGGTGTCTACAACAGGCTTAAGTAGTTTCGGTATTCCTCTGCGGTACACGGAGCTGCAAGAGATGATTTGAGATATCGACCTGTGAGTCTGAGTGAATCTACACGGAGCTCAAGCTACTTTGAATACAGTTTGAAGCTTTATTTAGCTTTGAGACAGTGGACGAATGCTTCCAGAAGCATTCGCTATACAGTTGAGTCGGGATGATGTGGTTTCATCGATCTCGGAGATTTCTTGACTCCTTGTAGGAGTGTGAATCTGACGGAGATGGTTTTGGAACCTCCGTTTCGATTCTTGACGTTGCTTCAAACATCTGAGATGTTTGTGAAGTCCTTTGACTACCTCTTGCGAGTATGTGTGATATTTCAGCGTTGTAAGGACAATGCCTACGCATAGTATTCGACATCTAGGTATGTGATCTGGAAGTCTGATACTCCGGCATTGAAAGGACAATGCCTACGTATAGTAGTCAACCTCTGGGTATTTGACCTGGAAGTCTGCTTTGTGACCTTTGTCTTTGTGACTTATTGCTGACGTTTGGTTATTGTGTTTAGCGAACTACTTTAGCGCTATGACTACTGATGACTGGATATTAGCTGAGAAGTCGAGCAGAACATTCTGCTCTCCACGGTGGTTTGGAGCTATGAGAAGATATCTCTGTGTGAAGAACTGTTTTGGAGATGGAACAGGAGGTTCCATGTTGTTCTGTATTGCAAGAGAACTTTGTAAAGGAATTTGAATGGATCATTTCGTTCTTGAATAGCCGTGTGACTAGTCTAGACGTTTGGTAGAGACTAGTAACACCGGCTAGCTGGTTATTTGCGTTTGGACGAGAACCAGTTTGACTTGAGAACTTTTGGAAATGTTTCTGACTTTTTGTGACTAGGTGATTTGTATATCATAGCAGTTTGGAATTGTTTCAGCAACCTTTGAGGAAAGGTTGTGGATTGGAAACCTGGAATCGAGTTTCCCAGTTGAGACATCGGCTCAAGGGAGTGGTGTCAAATGTTCCGAAGCGAACTGAACTGCAGTGTCACCTAGGGCACTTGAAACAGTAGCCACACTGGAACTTCTTTCCTTTGTTTGTGGGCTGTGGCCGTGTGCCTGCCCTGGTTCCTGTTGACCTGTTCCGTTGTGTGTGGCGTCTGGAGAGAAAAGGAGGAGTCTGACGTGCACTTAGGAGTCCGGGTGGAACAAGTTCCTTTAGCTTGACATTGCAGAGAAGTAATTAACCGCGGGACTGCAACCACAGTAGGTGTTTGCGTCTGGCGCAGTGAGATAACGAAAGCGTTGATTTGGGTACACGAGAGGTGTACTTGGGTTTACGTTTTTCACAGTTCCATCTACCCTCAACTTTCCATTCGGCCGATGGTTCCCAGCGGACGACATACAGGTTGGTTTTGCATCCTACACCTAGAGGACCTTTCCATGAACGATCTTTCAGCTGTACGATGCAAATCTATTGCACTGCATTTCATGGTTCGACCTGTTTTTTCAAAGAAGAAAAGGTAAACTGCAGGATGAACCTTCAAGGATGAACTCGAAGCACCCTGGCTTAGACAAGCAAGCATAGTCGAATTGGTCCTACTAGAGCACTCGTCGCATTGGGGAATCATCGGGTGCTCTGACACTTAGCATCAAATCACTTCGTGTCAACGTTGGACAATGATGGAATCATGGCCCATCCAACGCACCAAAGACAAGCTCGGCTGGAACCACGACCGGCTTTGGATTTGATCCCCGACAGTGCAATTACTGGAATCAAAAAGGAGATTAATAATGAGTCCGAGTGTGATGCACTGCGTTCTCGTTTTCGAAGCGTCGGCGACTACTTTATCTTTGTAGTAAGTTTCATTTATGTAAATAGTACATTTACATAAATCTACTCGCTTCGATATCACAACGATACGACATATAATTCAATTTGGAATTATATGGATATCAATTTAACATTTGAAACTTCCACCACCAGTGTTGGATTAGTCTCAAGCGATTCTAGTTTTGGGGAGAAATAAGATGTCACTCTTTTGAAAAAAGATGAAAGCCTTATTTCTCCAAACAAAAATTTGTGAAGTATCACAAATAAGGATCAACAAGAATCCTCTCTGTTTGGTGGTAAATAACATTTGTTAAAGGTTGAATCATCCAACCAAACATAGTGACGCAAACAGTTTGACGTTCAATTTCCTATTTCAATTTTAATATTTTCGATGTGGCATTCAATAATTCAATTGGAAACAAACCACATCCTTCACACGCCACGTCATTTATAATGCTGTGGCTTTTCCCAATCAAGTGGTGGGAGCGCGGGGAGTCCCTTTTAAATAAGGGCCCGTTTCTCACTCCCACCCAAAAATTGGAAATCAAGCTCAGCTGGAACCACGACCGGCTTTGGATTTGACCCCCGACAGTGCAATTACTGGAATCAAAAAGGACATTAATAATAAGTCCGAGTGTGATGCACTGCGTTCTCGTTTTCGAAGCGTCGGCGACTACTTTATCTTTGTAGTAAGTTTCATTTATGTAAATAGTACATTTACATAAATCTACTCGCTTCGATATCACAACGATACGACATATAATTCAATTTGGAATTATATGGATATCAATTTAACATTTGAAACTTCCACCACCAGTGTTGGATTAGTCTCAAGCGATCCTGGTTTTGGGGAGAAAAAAATTCAAATGCTGGTGAAAAAGCGTCTTTTGCTTGAGCACATCCCTGGACTTCAAAACCCGAGTGACGGTTTGACCAAGTCATTCAAGACTAGGGATATGCTGATTAACCTCGAGAAAGAGGTAGGTTTGGTGCCAGGACTCGACACCAATGGCTTGTCATGGATCCGTACTTTTCAGCGTAGGCTGCAGTTGCTAGCCGAAGAAGGGGAGATGTCTGGAATCGCAGGTGACCGCCTGGAATCCAGTTTGCTCCTACTGAAGGGCTTTGTACCTTCCTACAGTTGTCATTTGCACTGTTCTTTTGTTGCGAATCGGCGGATGTGGACCTTGAGTACTGTGAAAATATGACATCTGTGAGGAGATGTCCGACATCTGTGGTGAGATGAATCCATTTGGTCTTTTCTGCATTGGAAGAAGTGAATTTGTTTTTCATCTTGATGATGAGCTCAACCGTGATGGTTGACATCGTATTTGCACGTTTCATGTTTTGCACGTTTTATTGGAGATGACGAAACCCAACAACGATATACTTTTCGTCTTCTTTGGGTACTTTGATTGCACGGAGAACATCGTGAGGATTTGAATTTGTATAGTGACATGGAAAATCAA